CTTCCCAGTCCTTTGGATCTGCCCTGGATCCTCCCCAGCCTAATGGTGGGGCTCATGGCTGAGAGGCGTCTGTGGGGGCATGAGAAGGCCAAATCGGGGTTAATTTAGAAATGGCATCCCCCTACCCCGCTGCCGTCTTAGGGAGAAGACCGTGCTGCAGTCCTCCAACCGGAAACTGGAGCGGAAGGTTAAAGAGCTGTCCATCCAGATTGACGATGAGCGGCAGCATGTCAATGACCAGAAAGACCAGGTAAGAGCCATGGCCGGGGCCACGCAAGGATGCGGCCAGTAGATACTGCGTTTGCCTGAAGGCCAAGGTTGGTCCCATCTCGTGGGTCTTCCAAACGTAGACTTTTTTTGTATCAATGCAGAGACGTGACTGAAAGGACTGGATTGTAAAAGTTCTAGGAAGCACATGTGTTCATCAGTGTCTGCGATGTGCTAGCTTCTCTTTCTAAGCATCTCTCTCTCTCTCTCTCTCTCTCTCTCACTCTCACACACACACACACACACACACACATACCACACACATATTAACTCGTTTAATCCCCAGGGCAAACACGAGAGCTTAGGGAACTTGCTCATGGTCACCACATTTTCCGAGGGGCAGTGACCCCTTGTCAAGATTGCTACAGCCGAAACCGGTTTGGCTCAGTAGATAGAGCGTCGGCCTGCGGACTGAAGGGTCCCAGGTTCGATTCTGGTCAAGGGCATGTACCTTGGTTGCAGGCACTTCTCCAGTGGGGGGTGTGCAGGAGACAGCTGATCGATGATTCTCTCTCTTCGATGTTTCTAACTCTCTATCCCTCTCTCTTCCTCTCTGTAAAAAAAAATCAATAAAATATATTTTTTTAAAAATGATGGCTGCAGGGGAGGGTCCCAGGCCGAGTGGCAGCAGATGCTTTTCTGATGTGGGGGCTTGGTCTCCTTCCCAGCTAAGCCTGAAGGTGAAGGCTTTGAAGAGGCAGGTGGATGAGGCCGAAGAGGAAATTGAGCGGCTGGACGGCCTGAGGAAGAAGGCCCAGCGTGAGCTGGAGGAGCAGCATGAGGTCAACGAACAGCTCCAGACCCGGATCAAGGCTCTGGAGAAGGACTCCTGGTAATGGCCGCTTCCCTGCCCCTGCCCCATCGGGATGGTGGAGCCGGAAGGGGGCGGCTCTCCTGGCTGATGACCTTGAGGGAGAAGAGGATCTCTCAGATGGGACTTGGAAGCCACTTATTCCTGGCTGGAAGCCTAGATGATTGCCTTTTAGGATCTCAGCCTCTATTCCAGGGGTCTTCAAACTTCTCTCATTATGAGAATCACCTGGTGGAGGTGTTAAAACACAGATTCCTGATAGCACTTCTTATAGTTGGGATCCGGGAATCTGTGTTTTAACAACTCCACCAGGGGATTCTCATAATGAGAGAAGTTTGAAGACCCCTGCCATACCCCATCAGCCCAAATCTCTGCTAGGTGGGGGATGTTGGGAGTAGCTTTAGGTCTTAGGAGAATCGGGAGCCTCTTTAGCGTGAAAAGGGTGGCTGTCTCGATCTTCCCACCTCCCTCCATCACCAGTATTCCTCTCTCTGACTCAGGCGCAAAGCTTCCCGCACAGCTGCTGCTGAGTCGGCCCTCCAACACGAAGGGCTGAGCTCTGATGAGGAATTCGACGGAGTGTACGATCCTTCCTCCATCGCATCGCTGCTCACGGAGAGCAACTTGCAGACCAGCTCCTGCTAGCTCGCGGTCCACAAGGCCCAGAGACCACGCTTGAGGCCTGTCCTGGCCAGCCCTGCTTTGTCCTGCCTCAGATCCCTCATTCTTTCGGGGGACACAGTCATTCAGACCGGAGACAGGGAGAGGTGGTGATAAAAGGGTGTCTGTGCTGAGGTGGTAGACGGACTTTCCTTTTCTTCTGGAGGCGCGGGTATCTTAGGCTACCTGAGCCTTTACAGCAGCAGGATGGTCAGCAGACAGGTTGAGGGGGGAGTAAGCAGGCCAGGAAGGGAGAGAAATTGCCATGTATATTCTGTAAAGCTTTATTACTTTCGCCCTTAATCCTCAGGCTCAGGGAAATGCCCTAGGTTATTCCGCCACCTTGATTCCTGTCACCTGCTTCCCTCCCACTCTGGAGCAGGGTGTGGGGAACCGTATGGGTAATGGGCACGCTGGCGTGGCTCTACCCGCTCCTCGATGCTCCTCTTTGCACAGTCATGGGGCCCCTGTGGTAGACCCCCCCCCCCAACCCCACCTCTCAGTCCTATTTTTTTTTTAATCTTTCCTAAGCAAGTGGGTCCAGAAGAGCCTTTCTCCTTCCCTCTTCATCTTCATTCCCAAATCCCTTCTTTCTTCTCAGTGCCTTAGCCACAGCAAGAAGATAAGGATGCTCGTCTTGCCTTTGATACCTGCACATTCATACCTCTCCAAGGACCAGCCTTTTTCCATCCGGGGATTTAAAAAAAAAAATATATATATTTTATTGATTTTTTTATAGAGAGGAAGGGAGAGGGATAGAGAGCTAGAAACATCGATGAGAGAGTAACATTGACCAGCTGCCTCCTGCACACCCCCCACGGGATGTGCCTGCAACCAAGGTACATGCCCTTGACCAGAATTGAACCTGGGACCTTTCAGTCCGCAGGCCGACGCTCTATCCACTGAGCCAAATGGGTTTTGGCGCGTCTGGGGATCTTTCCTACGGCCCCAGTATCTGGTCAGGAGAGCTCCTGGCTTCTCTGCCAATGAGCCCCTCTGAGAGGGACTTTGGTGGCGCCATGATGAGATGGTGGGGCCTGGGTCAGGGTTTCCATCCTCCCTCCTCTCCCTCTGTGACTATGGACGTGTCTATAAGGTGGCCATACCTGGGAACACTGACAGCTGTCCACACAAGTCGACAAACACAAGGTTTCAGCCCTTCCACGTGGCCTTGCTTGTGGCTTCTCCGCCCCGAGGTGCCCATCCTCACTGGGGAACCAAAGGACCCTTGTCTCAGGAGCTTGGACCTGACACGGGGCTTCCCAATGGGCTGGAGGCCGACTCTTGGTAGAAACGGGAAGAGGCAATGGAGGATCTGTTTCCCCTTCGGGCTTTGAGGAGAGCCAAGCCCTGGTGGAGAGGAGCGAGGGAGATGATTCACCTCATTTTCTAAGTCTGCTCTGTGAGGAGCCTGGGGGAAGAAGGCTGTTTTCACCAATGACTTGTAATTTCATGATTTAAAAAAAAAAAAAAAATGTCCTGCAAATCAGATATTTTCTCCCAAACCAATTCAGCGTTGATTTTTTATGTTAAATTAACTATTAAAATTATATATCTATCCTGTAATCCTTGGCGTGTTTTCTCATACTTTTCCCTCGCTTACTTGGAGGGCCCCACATTAGGAAGAAACCATTTTATTTTATTTTTATTTTTTTCTAATATATTTTATTGATTTTTTTAAATAAAGTATGTTTCTCAGATTCTTTTTTCCACCCCAATATATTTCATTGATTTTTCACAGGAGGAAGGGAGAGAGACAGAGAGCTAGAAACGTCGATGAGAGAGAAACATCGACCAGCTGCCTCCTGCACATCCCCCACCAGGGATGTGCCCGCAACCAAGGCACATGCCCTTGACCGCAGACCGAAGCTCCACCACTGAGCCGAACCGGTTTCGGCTTTATTGATTTTTTTTTACAGAAAGGAAGGGAGAGGGATAGAGAGTTAGAAATATCGATGAGAGAGAAACATCCATCAGCTGCCTTGTGCACACCCCCTATTGGGGATGTGACCGCAACCAAGGTACATGCCCTTGACTGGAATCGAACCCGCGACCTTTCAGTCCGCAGCCCGATGTTCTATCCACTGAGCCAAACTGGTTAGGGCAGGAAGAAACCATGTTAACTGTGCTATTTAGAGGCTGAAGCTGGGTTTTTCTTGACCTCAGTTTTTAGAGGTCCTCTACAACAGATCAGATGGAACCTAGGCCACCGGAGGATTATAGCACCTTCATTTTCTCCTAAATAAGCTTCTGGGAATAGCAAGGCCAGTAAATGCCTTCTTTGAAGGGATGGAGGAGACACCAGAACTGAGTTTTATTCTTTAAGGCATAGGGATATCCCGGGCACTCACCTCCCAGGTACAAAGACACACTTCCATCCCTACCTGGCATGCGACCCTGTCCTTGTATTGCCTTGAAGAGGGAGCTAGCTCTAGCTGTTCACCAATTTAAGAGTGGATCAGACCTTCTCCTGCCTACTTCCACGTGGACCATAGACCAGTGGATCAGCCACCTGCAGCGAGCAGCTGGGCTGGGAAGAGGCTCCAAGGTCTTGGTTGGCCATGCTCTCTTTCAGATCCTTAAGATGCTAGCCTGGGCTTGGGGAGCGAATGCCCCTGGAGAAATTGAGTCTCATCCCTTCTTAAGAACACAAACTCCTTTTAAGGACACGTCCCACCTCTCCCAACCATATAAGGGCGGCTTTGGTTATAATAGCTTCTGCAAAACAAGCCCCACCCAGAGCCAAGCTAGCTTTGACTTTGGCCTGGGCGTCTTGCCAGGGAAGGGCACCTGCCAGACTGGCTTAGGCCAGTCTGCATGAGCTGGCCCTTGATGCTTGCATTTCTATGGTGGAGGAAACTTGCTCAGCTTCCCAAAGCCTACATACAGGCTGGCCTGTTCAGTAGGGAGAGGAGAAATGTCTGGAGGCTTTTTAAAAATCCATTCTCTCTAGGGGCAGGCGAGGTGACTATCTCTGACCCACATGGATCTTCGAGTTGAAAGGAGGAGACAGCAAAACGAAGGGGGAATGGTTGAAGTACACACAACCACACGTGTTAGACAAACCTTGAGTGAAATAGCTCGCGGGAGCGCCCAAACCCCACCTCTATGGAAATCTGAGCCGGGGCCGGTGGGCGTGCCCTTTAAGCCACGCCCACACCCTCGCACTCCCGCCCACTCGTTGGCGGACGGCGCCTTGGGGGCGTGTCCTGCCGCCAGGCCCCGCCCCCGACGCGCCTATACAAGGGGGGGCGGTCCCGCGCGCGCCCGCCCAGTCGGTGCCGGACCGCAGTGCCGCGGGCGGAGCGCGGCGACCCCCGTCCCCCTCACGAAGAAGAAGATGAACGGGACGCGGGGCTGGGGCACCCTGGTGGACGTGCGCCCGGAGGAGCAGACCGCGGTAAGCCAAAGCGGCCTCGCCGTCCGCTCAGCTCGGTTGCATTTGGCTTCCGACGCCGCCGCCGCCGCTCCCGCGCCCCGCGGCGGGTGCGCTGACATCACCGGGCGCCGCGCTCGGGGCTCGGTCAGCTCCTCGCCGCGGCTCCCTCTCTCCTCCCGCCCCGCGGCGGGCGGTGGGACTCCCGGGAAGTCGCGGGATGGAGGCTCTCCGGAGGCTCGAGGGCTCCGGGGGGTCCTGCCCTTGAGGAGGACACTGCGGCTCCTGCCGGGGTCTCCGGGGCGCCCGGCTCCGGGGCGCGCTGCTCAGGCGTCCGCTCGGGGTCGGCGGTGGATCGGGTTGTAGGAGAAGGAGATCCAGGGACCGGATGGATCCCTGTGCTCTTTTGGACTTTAGGGGGGGGGGGTGGCTTTTCTGCGGATCCTAGCGACTTGGGCGGCCCTTCAGAGAACTTTTCGGTGCTTCGGGTGATCGGTAACAGAGGGTAAGAAAGTGAAATCCTAGGGCTTAGCTGGAGGGTGGGGGCCTGGAGGGCTCCAGGTGCGCCCGAGGGAGGCCAGGAACTGGATAGCACTGGCCGATTTTGGGGGGGTCATCTCTCTGCTGGGGTTTCTTTCCCTCCCCCTCTCCCTCCCCCGCCGGCAGTATTTCTGCTCCCTTCCCCCAATCGGCCAACCGATAGCTTCCTGGGGGCGGTTTATTGGTTATGCTTCCTTCTCCAGCATCCTCGCCCGGGGCGAGGAGAGGCCGGAACCTGGGGTGAGAAGGGAAGGGGAGGGTTTCTGTACGGCCTGAGAGAAGGGAGTTCTCCAAGGCTAACCGATCTGCCCTGCTCCCCTCACTCCCCGGCTCCCTGTCCTCTCCCGGGCTGACCATATGATTTTTTCCCCTCCGAGAGGCAGAGGAAGGTAACTAACTGGTGGCTGAGGGTGTCTAGGCTCTCTCCGCTGGGGAACTTAATCCGGAATAGGTGTGTACTATTTCATCGATTTCCAGGCTGTTGTGGGCGAGAGTGAAATGGGAGCCAACCTCATGGGGAGTTTGTATCCCTTCTCTTCTCTCCCCCCCCCCACCCCCCCTTTCCCCCCTGCACTCTGTATCTGATTCCCTTCCCCTCTTCCTGTCTCAGCAAGCTCCTGAGGTAGCTAGCTAGCTAACCCAGCTGCACCCGGACTGGCTCTCCTTCAAAGAATGTTTTTTAGGAACAGTTGCTCATTTCAAGGTAGGATAGAGAGGATCACTGTGCATAGGCCCTGTCCGTTTCTGCTCAGGCTTTCTTTGTTTCTACCACTTTACCATGCAGACCTTTCTGCTGCTGCACCCCAGTGTCCGTCCTGCCCCCACCCCCCCTAGTCTCTGTAGCCTGCCACTCCCCAGATATGGGGTGCTGCAGAAATGGAAAAAATCCATTTCCCGTTGTGTCTCAGCCCCAAGTCCCACGCCATGCTTGCTCTTGCTCACTGTTTTGGTATGGCTGAGGCAGCACCATGGGCATGAGGAAGGTAAAGGAGAGGGGTGTTTGGGCTTCATTTTGCTTGCTGTAGACTAGATCCAGAAAAGTTGAGGATGTGTTGAGAACGAATTGACACCCTCTTCCACCCCTTGATGTTCTGCTGCTTGTCCAGTAGGGCAGCACACCGGTGGGAAAATGATGCACAAAGAATTCTAATACAGTTTGAAGCTAACCAGAGACCTCCAGAGCCAGGGGGAGACAGAACGTCACTTTTAGTCCTTCTTTCTAGGTCGGAGTTGGGAGTTATTTACTTCAAAGCTGGGAATGAAATAATCGTTGCCTTAGATCTGATCTTAGAGACATTCCTGAGCTCTTAAGCAGGAGGGGATGATAAACATGTGCTCCATCACGGTCACAGGCTTTGTCCTGGATGCCTCTCCTCTGAGCGAGCCTGCTGATAGAATTTATGGGTCCGGACAGCCCCCTGGAACTGTCATGTATGCACCCCTCTGAGCGAGTGCATGAGCAAAGGAGTGAGTCAATGAGCAGATGTTTCTTCTGATGTCAGCAGTGTGGACAGTTTAGCCAATCGGTGTGCCCTGGTGAGAGTCAGGACCCTGGGACTCTTCTCAGCGATTCCACACCAGCCAGGCCATGTGCCTCAGTGTGCCACACACGGACATGGGAATATGGCTCCTCTGCTCTCTGGGCTGCTTCTCATTGTTGGAGGTAGAAGCAGCCAATATAAGGAGCCAGTGTGTTTCAAACTGCAGATCTTAACCACTGGAAGGTCTGGCATCAACTTAGTGGGCTAGAACCAGTAGTAGAAAAGAAATAGATCCCAACTATATGACATTATGGCAAAGACAAAAACTATGGAGACAGTAAAAATGATCAGTAGTTTTCAGGGGTTTTGGAGGGTGAAGGGATGATTAATGGATAGAGCACAGATGATTTTTTTAGGGCAGTGAAAAAGCTCTGTGTGATATAATGATGGATGTATATCCTTATACTTTTGCCTGAACCTGTAGAATCCATAACACCATTTATTTCATTAAAGTGAACCCTAAGGTGAAATATCAATTTTGGGTGGTTGTGATGTATCAATGTAGGCTCATCCTTGGTTAAAAAAAAAAAAGTAGGTATATGGAAATCTTTGTACCTTCCCATTGATTTTGTTTTCAACCTTAAAACTGCTCTAAAAAAAATAGTTTTAAAAAAGGAAATAGAATGAACACTCTCAGACTGTTAGAATAGACATTTTTGGCAAACATTTTGTTTCAGTTATATATATGTGTGTGTGTGTGTGTGTGTGTGTGCGTGTGTGTGCTCGCGCGCGCGTATTGGCTTGTGATGTAAAATGTATTTTTTAGGTCGAAAGTTGGTAAACAACTGTAGTAAGTTATGTTGGCAAATGAAAGCACAAATCCACCTCACACCTTAGACATTCCCATTAAGTTTCTTTGGCTATAAGCAGCAGAGTGACTCCACCTAACTTAAGCAGGAGAGGAATTTACTAGAAGGAAATGGGTAGTTCCAAAAATGTAAGAGGAAGCTTACAAAGTCAACCCAGGGTGTCCCCGGGCCTGTGTCCCGGTGGAAGGAGCTAATGGAGAGTTATCACTTCCAGGTGGATCGGTTCCAGCTGTGTTAGGTATTTCTGCCATTCTGCCCAAGATTCAGGAAGAGGGTGCCATTGGCCCCATGGCCTCCTTGGCTAGGGCACGGGGTTCCTTGATGACAGGCCCATCCTTGACTGACAGGAGGGAGATTCTCCAAAGCAAAACCCAAGTGCTTCTACCAGTGGAAGATGGAAGTTGTGTGGCAAAAGCAGCAAGTGCTAGCTGCATTAGACTATGGCTGGCCTATCTCTGATTTTCTTTTTCTTTTAAAATAATTTTTCAGCGCTGGTTGGATGTCATCCCATGCGCCCAAAGATTGCGGTTCGAGTCCCCCCTGTTCAGGGCACATGCCCAGGTTGCCGGCTTGATCCCCACAGGGGGCCTGCAGGAGGCGAGGCAGCTGATGTTTCTCTCTTTCCCTCTCCCTTCCCCGCTGTCTAAAAATCAATTTAAAAAAACTTAAAAAGATAAAATCTTTTTTCCAAGGAAAAAATATGCATAATTTTTAAAAGATCTAATGATAGCAAAAGGCTTTTAAAAGAAAATAGCAAGGCTGTTTAGCTCAGTGGTTTGGCTCGTAAGACTGCCACCCAGAGAGATCAGAGGTTCGATTCCTGGTCAAAGGCACGTACCTGGGTTGCAGGTTTCAGCCCCAGCCCCAGCCCCGGTCCACATATCTCTCTTACATCGATGTTTCTCCCTCCCCCTTTCCCTCTCCCTCCCCTTCTCCATTACCCTCTCCCTCTCATTCCATTCTTTCTAAAAAAAAAAAAAAAAAAAAGGAAAAAGGAAAAATATCCCCGGGGTGAGGATTAACAACAAAAAGAAAAATAGCAAGTAGTTCCCTGCCTCAAGTCCTGTCCACTTTCAACTCTTTTGTCTGGTGTTTACCACATTTTCTAAATAATATGTTTATAGTGATGCTTTTTGATCTGTAAGTTTTACACATCTATTGATTACCTGCTGTGGGGATTACAGGAAAGTTTATACTCCCACCCCTTACACCCTCTCTTTTTCTTCTCCGATTCTCTTGATGTAATTGCATCACAGTCTTTGGCTAAACTATGATTTTTGTGATTTCTGTTCATAGCATGTGGTTCAGAGCCTGGTTTTGGGAATCTGACCTAGTGGGCTATCAGGGAGATTCAATATTTGTTTTGCTCAAGATCACTTCGGTAAAATTACTTCATCTCTTCAGTCTCATTTCCCTCATCGGTAAAACAGGGATAATAATTGCACCCTTCTCATAAGGTTGTAAGGATTAAATAAGGTCCATAGGAAGCCACAGTGCCCGGCACATGGCAAACGCTCTGATATTAGTTTTATTTTCTGTTTGCTACTCCCTGGCTTAGACTGATACTGTTATTTCTCCCCAGAGACCCTTGGCCAAGACACAGAGGAATGGCCTGGTCTGGCCAGTGTTCTCTCCTTCTCCTTATGTTTGTTCTTATCTGTAACTTCCCCCTTTCCTCTGCTCGTGGAGGAAGGAGACACCTGAAGATAAGAAGGGACCTGTAGGTGGACCCAGGATGAAGACCTGGGTGACCTCTGCTAGTCCCAGCTCAACCAGGACTGGCTTAGACAGAGTGATGGTCAAGGCTCACCCCCTCTGTGCCCCTTTCCTGATCCATGGGCAAGGTAGCTGGTGTCGATGATGGACTCTGTGATGAGGTGATTCCCTTTGAATAATCTGTCAGAGTTGCCCTTCTTTAGATATTTGCACGTTTTTCATGCTCTAATTTTGCTTCTTGGTTAGTCTTGGTCAGAGAGGTTCTCTCGATGCCCTGGTGAACTTGGAATTTTTTTTTTTTTTCATCTGCTGCACCTTTGTCTTTACCTTGGAACAGGTGTCATTCCTTTAGGACCTCAGAAAGCTGAATTTGTTTAATACCAAGTCTTTCCTGAGCCCTTTCTTTCCTTTTTTTAAC